TCTGATATGTCTTGTCACCCGTTTTCATCTTACAGTGTGGTCCGAAAAGCTGAGAGGTGTGTCTTGTTTTGACATATTTGCGCAGGGATTTAGCCATAGCTCTTTCTGCATTCTGGGAGTTATGACATACTGCTCTCTTAAGGCTGCCTTCTATAATACAAATGAGGCTAAGCGTTGTTTACATCAATTGCTCACGTCTTGAACAACTCAAAAGGAAAGTGGATATTGTAAACATATTTTATTTCACAAACGTCTTTTCTCACTTTGTCCTGGGTCTGGCCATACAGTTTGCGCATTTCCGTCTCACTGAGCAGTGAGTATGGAGGCAGATACAAAAACGTAATCGACATGTGTTCCAACGATTGGCTGGCAGGATCCAAATCTCACTAGTCGGGCAAATTCATAGCTTCTACTGAATACATCGTTCATACTGCACACCCCGACTTCATCCCTTTGAATGTTCCGCAAAACAACATTCCCGAGAGCGGATTGGGCAAGCTCGGACATGAATGGTCAACAGAGACAAACTGCATGATAATATCGTTCAGTCAGGGTAATTGAAACACGTGGTTGCGCTTGATCGTCTTTAAACAAGTCCAACACGTTCTCTGTGTTCCAGCCTGTTACATATAGAGTATACCGTAAATCTCCGGTCAGTGATGCCCAGTGAAGCGTGAGGTGGAACCTTGCTTTATGGCTGCAGAGGGAACGCTTGCTTGTTTGATGACTGCACTGAGAGACAAGAAAGGCCAAGATCTTTGATCTGCAGACCGCCTGCAGGCTAGAGAACTCATAAAGATTTGGTTTGACCACAAGTAAAAGAACCTTCTTCTTGCGGTTGCTGCCTCAACTTGCACACATGCAGTCTGAGTGGCACGTGCACGCCCTCAGGCGGACACACACGCCCGCCTGTGTGCTCTTTTGTGAATATGCACGCAAACGCTCTTACGAGTTAATGAATGATCGTCAGGTGTGACCAAGTTCCAACGTGAAACTCTGTTGACCCTTTTCCAGTATAAATACATCACACGGGCATGATGTCATCAGGAGTGCAGGAAGTTTCTTGACATAGTAATCGCCCTACTGTGGTTACCTGAAAGATCAAACCCTCTTTAAACTTTATAGGATAAACATCCTGAGCAACTTGTCCCTTCTTTGCAATGCCTATTTCTTCCCCAGGCTCGTGGAAACTATGACTACTACCAGTTCACTGGATTGTAATTAAAACATTGTCAAACCGTCTGAGAGGAAGAAAGAGGCAGGTCATTATATCGTGTCAGTCAAATATGCGTGGCTTGTGAGTGTTCCAATTTCTGAAAATGATGGACATTTGACTGATCATGGCAATCAGTTGTGGCGTAGGACTTAATGAACTCCACAGGGATGTTGTGGAACAGGCATCTCCAGAAAAGACTGAGGGTGGGAGGGTGAAGATTAAGCCGAAGCGCAGCAGTGCCAGGGGTGAGCTCGCCCTGGGCCCCCCTGCCTTGCGGCGGAAGTGTTCAAGGTGCCACTGAGGGGTGTGACGGTGCTCAGCAGACACTTGGGCTAATGTGAGCCGTCACATCTGTCTGCTGTTGCTCCGGAGGCCGAGGTGTCTGCGATGCTTCTTGGGTCTGTAAGACAAGGAAGTGAGGAGTGAGCAAGGAGAACGGCAAAGGACTGAAAGTATGATAGTGATGTTTGTCAATATTTTTGTTCTTAAAAAAATTTAATACAAATCCAACGGATCATATTGAAGTTGAGAATCAGTTAATAGTTTGCTTTAAACACACAATGGATGCTGCTGTTCCCACATATCTGCGGGGTTTATTTTAGCATTCTTATCTCACTACAGAGAAACCTTCAAGGAAGGACTGTCATGGTACACACATTTACTTTGAGGACACAAAAGCATGACACAGTGAGAGAGAATATTTATGGGCTTTGGTGATGAGCCTTTCCATTTAACACTTTATACAGCAGTATTTGAAGAAAATATGACATTCATGTATTTTTAATGTGAAGTTAACTTCAGCCATAATGTGCTGAGCAACCCGAGCGGATATGTCTACACGTGTTCTTAGTAACTTTGCGTAGTGGAATCAGAAACGAATAGTTGTTCTTCTACGTGTCCCCTGCGATTGGCTGGCATCTGCAAAGTTGTAAAGCCTAAAAAATATTTGGCTTTAATTTAATTCCACTGAAAACATTAAGTATAAAGTGGACATTTGTCACTCAGTGACAGACTGAAAAGATCTGTTGGCACTGACCCGGCTAGTGAGGATTCCAGTGGCGAACAAAAACCCACGTTTGCTGATGCTTCCTTGATCGGTTTCACGTCTAGGCTCAGCAAAGCGGGCGTCTGTCAGTGACGGATTGACAGACCTTCCGTCAGTACTGACGGAATGCCCCCCTCTGGTCCGTAGAATAAATAAATACTCTGGGTGTTGGCGACAGCAATCACTTGTTTGTATCTTCAAGAACACTTGGCATAGTGGTGGTGGGGTGCTTTTACAACTCAAAATGGAATGAGAGATTGAACTCATCAATTTGTCATTGTGATTTGCTTCATGTGGTCAGGTCAGGTCAAATGATGTGGGGGTCACACTGCTCAATCAGCAGCTTGTATGAAAAGCAAATCCGAAGGCAGACTAAATAATCAAAGCATCTCACTTTGCCTGTGTGTGTGTGTGTGTGTGTGTGTGTGTGTGTCTGTGTGTGTGTGTGTGTGTGTGTGTGTGTGTGTGTGTGTGTGTGTCTATTTGTGTGCATTTGTAATTATGGATTACAGAAAACTACGGTATATTGATAGTCTGACTGTGTGCTGGGACACACAAGGCTGTCTGCTTCACGGGTTCTTCCTCTTACTTTGTGATACCTACCCCATGTGTGTGCACAATGTGGGCCCTCGGCACATCGTAAAAGTGGGTATGTTTACTTTGTGGTGTGCATGCGTGTGAACATGTGTTTGCAGGACAGGTGAAGCAATGGCTAAACACTCCCAGTTTCAAGAAGTCATTCATGTTTCTGAAGGTTTGGCTTCCACATCTGATGACTGCTGTGCTACTTAATTGTCAGATCAGGTCTGCGGTTAAGATAAAGCTCCAGGCGGTTGTAATGCTGCCACAGACTACGCAAACTAGTGCCTTGACATTTTCGGAGAGGCAAATGTCTCACAAAAGATTTCAGCTGCTCTAGAGCTGAGAAACTGACTTGGCTGCTTTGGTAGCTGAAGATCTGCATAGGCTTCTTCTCAAAGGGAGTTCAACTGGGGGAAACATGGAGAAGAGATGTCAATATAGAGTTGATTTGAAGCTGTGAGCTTTGCAGTGTCTCAATTTTTAGTGTTCTCATTTGATAAATAGATCACAACTACAATGTTAAAAATTGTAGAGGAAACTTCTCAATTTGACGATGGACCTTTGCTTCCGGCGTAATTACGGTAGTTGTCGCAACAATTGCAAAGGGATCCTAAGAGTCTGATATTAGATGGGTTTGGGTCATTGTTAAGGGCACATTGGCAGCTACAAGGAAGTAAATCTACACAACTCATGAAACCAATTGAATATCTTTGAATAGTTTTTTTTTTTTTTTAGAAAATTACGACATTTAAACAATTTTGCGTCGACTTTGTATCTTTACTGTAAATTATATATAAGGTGCAGACAGTCGTTAAGGCTCAAGTACATATTTAGAGTCTCTTTGAATCGTACTAACGCCGACTGGGTTTGTGGGAGACATAAAAGAAACGTGATGTAAAGTCTGCAGGGGGAAAAAAAACAACTTCATGGCAACCAGAGCAGAGGAAGCAGCAGGTGCACTGAAAGTAAAACGACTCTGCACAGGCATGTGTCAGGCATGTGTAGGGGAGCATGCGTAAGACATCACGCCACATTCATCTTGCCAACAACTGCTTTCGAACATATGCGCTGTCATCAGAAATTCTTTTTGAACTGGGGTGTTTATGTGTGTGTGTGTGTGTGACGTAGGTTTCAAAAATAAATCGCTGTGTTGTTTTTTTTTTTGTTTTGTTTTTTTTCTGACCCTGTTTTGCCAAGGAAGTTGTTATGAAGTAAAGAACATTTGGTGGGTGGAGCTTAAATCAACAAAGAGAGGGTGGAGATCAGTCAACAGGGAAAGTTAAAGCAGAAGTTTGGAATATTTATTTATTTTTTGATCCATATTAAACACACTTGCCATGTGCTACCATACTTTTTGGATTTCATTTTATTGTGTAGAATCTTTTCTTACAAGCATTGCAAGCAGCTTTGTCCAATATGATTGACACATCTGATCTTTGGTGAATGTCTTTCTTCAGCAAGGTCTCACGTTCAAGTATGGTTCATTCTTCATTTGTAGTTTCATTTGATCCTAATTTTATTCCCGTATTTCCCAACTGACCTCAATTTAGAGTTAAAGAAAGAAACGCTTTTCAATATTCTACCAAATAAAACATTCAAAACTCATTGCACATTGGTTCAATTCAAGACTCAAATTTGACATGTGAAACCTGCCCAAAACACAAACTAACCTTAATGCAGGTGTGTCAAACCCATGTGTGAGGTCTGCCTGAGTGTTAATCACAAAGGGAAAAGTGGGTCGAGATGTGGAGAGTCGCGGCGCTGATCCCTGCGACGTCCTGCCAGGACGTAAGAGGAACATGCTGAGGGGTAGTGGGGGTGATGTAAGGAGGTCACTTCCCAAGGGGGTTACAACGGGCTGGTTAGTGTTGTGGAGATGAGCGGAACTATGTACTCCAAACATGGATTCTCGACTCACGAGAAACAGATGAGAGGTGGACTGAATGACTCGCCGGGGCTGAGAGGGGAGAAGAGAGGCACTCGTAAAATTGTCAGTGTGCCTTTATCATGGTGCTCGCCAGATGTGTCGCTTCTCGCTCATCACGAGTATCAAGACAAAGCAGGTTAATGCGCTTAATGTGGCACTCATCAGCTTCCAAACAGCAACATACGAGCGACAATAAGATGTCTGAAGTCATCATTGTTTCCTTCTTGCAGTGGAGCATGACAAGGAATTCCTACCAGTGCGACGGCATCATCGAGAATTTCGATTTGACCTGTCCCAGATTCCTGAGGGTGAAGCGGTCACTGCTGCTGAGTTTCGTATTTATAAAGACTTCATCCATGAACGCTTTGATAACGAAACCTTTCGCATCAGCATCTACCAAGTGCTGGAGGAACATTCCGACAGGTGAATACTTCTGTTTTTTTTGTCTTCTTTTGTCTCAACATGTGTTATATGTATGGGGCTGAACAACAAGCAGGATATACATATTTGATTCGGCCACAAATATAGAGGAGAGACTGTTGTTTTATCACATCAACATGTACATTACTGCAGTATTCATCTTAAAGCTTGCCCAGCAAAACCACATGTCAAAAGATGCCACGATGGCCACTACAAAAGTGTCCCACGGTCATGTGAACAACACATGATGAATCGGAGGTCTGTGACACACAATCGGGAGACGCCAATGGCCCCATAAAGGACAGGATGGAGATTTTACACTCCATCCCAGAGAGGCATCAAAATCACAAGGTCCTCGGTCGAATGATGTGACCGAGCTTGCTACATTTCCCACACGTGTACTTTTTCACAACAATTTTCTTCCTCCTTTTGACTTATGACTCATGTTGCTACAAAATTTAAGGCAATGATGGACTGTATGTGGTGTATGAATGGCTAGTCATTTATAAAGCCATTATTGTCATTTAAAGAAATGAAGTGTTCCCCTGGGCTTCACCATCTGGAGCCCCCCCTGCTCCATCCACCCGACATCCCTCTTTGCTTGGAATTCCTTCCAGTCCCTGTGCTGCTCCTTGTGGTTGTTAGCTTGTGACACATTCATCTTCTGCGTTCCCTGCACAGAGAGTCTGACCTTTTTCTCCTGGACTCACGAGTGATCTGGTCTGCAGAGGAGGGCTGGCTGGTTTTTGACGTGACGGCCACCAGCAACCACTGGGTCCTCAACCCAAGAAGAAATCTGGGTCTGCAGTTGGCTCTAGACGGCACAAACGGTGAGTGTCACAAGCAGAACTGCGGAGCATGAAAACAAAGGCAATACTGCACCCGCAACAACTTAACACACCAAATTATGATCAACCCATACAGTACATTAAATAATTACAACTCATTTTTGAAACTAATCACACTGCGTCTTCGTGTGTCAGTCGATCGATCTCTCTATCTATTATATATATAGTATTTATTATATATATAGTATTTAAATAATCATAAAATTATTTAAATGATATGACAACAAATGTGAATGTGAATAGTACTGTGGCTATTGTATTTATATTGCACTTAATTGAACTTATTGACCTTATCCATATTTGTATTTATATTGCACTTAATTGAACTGTGTTTTCTTTTCTCTTCTTTCTACCCACAATCTTGCTGCTGAAGGCTGTAAATTTCCCCAGTGTGGGACAAATAAAGGATATCTTATCTTATCTTATCTTATATAACTATCACATTACATTTGGCCTAACTAGTTTTACATTTCATCTTCAAACCACACATAAAAAATGGCCAACAATCAAGTCTGTCAAATTATCATGTCTTATGTCATGTCTTGAGTCCAAGTCCAAGTCGAGTCTCAATTTTGAACCCTTGTCAAACCAAGTCACAAAATCAAAACAGTGGTCTTGAGTCAGCTTGAGTCCCCAGCTCTGGTTTTACCTATTGCGCATACTTGAAACACATTTAACTCATTAAATCCCAGCTATTTTCACTGGAGCAACTCTCTCAATCCCAGCGTTTTACTGGATTTTGACTGATTTTGCAAGGCCCACAGAATATTTGGTTTGAATGCTATATAAACATGGAGCCTACCAAAATAAAGTTTGGACTCTCTTCTTTCAGCAGAAAAAAAATTGTTTATATCTTTTTCCATTCTTCAGCAATCGGCATTACAAAGTGGCTAAATTTCATGAAAATGGCGATTCCTGGGCAAAAAACGGAGAAAAAGAGCTTTTTGTAAAAGCATGCATTTCAAGCACGTGAGGCACCACTGCCATCTACTGGGCGCTTTTTTTACATAATTTACAATGCAAACGGCTTTTTCTCATTCACAGATTGCATCAGATCCTCCTCCTCTCTATGACACAAAAAAAGACAGACTACATGTACGTCCTTGGTAGGCGGGGCCTAATTTTAAAAAGACATACAAGTAAGTCTTGTGGACTTAAAGAGTTAAAGTCCTAGTAATGTGAAAATAAATGTCTTCTAAATTGTCACTGTTATCTACATTGTCAAATTTGAAAAAGAAAACCAGGAATTAACTCACATTAGTCTTCCAAATTGTAAAAATCCATGGACGGCGCAATACCAGGTCCCCGGTTCAGCACCCCAAACTATTCGGTTACAGTATTTGTTTGTTCTTTTTATTTATTTATTCATTCATTCATTTATTTATTTAAGTTGAAAAAAACATAAAAACATTTACAAGTAGCCATTCTGTTTCAATACAATTCCTGTTCCCATGTTTGTGTTGCAGCTGTGCCCCGTGTGTGTTTGTGAGGGCTGGGAAGGGAGGGGTGAGTCTTTTAATTCCTTGCACGTTAGATTGGTTAGTACATGTTCAAAGGTTTCTGGAAAGTACATTAAAACATATTTCTAAACAGGTTTGAACGTGTTTCCAAAACACGTAAGTAAAGCCACAAAACTATATTGTGTATTAGTTTTGAAGTAGGGGTCTGGTGGTCGACTGGTTAGCGTGTCGGCCTCACAGTGCAAAGGTACAGGGTTCAATCCCGGCTCTGGCCTTCCTGTGTGGAGTTTGCATGTTACCCCCGTGCCTGCGTGGGTTTTCTCCGGGCACTCCGGTTTCCTCCCACATTCCAAAAACATGCGTGGCAGGTTGACGGAACGCTCTTGGTGTGAGTGTGAGTGCAGATGGGTGTTCGGCTATGTGTGCCCTGCAATTAGCTCGCAACCAGTTCAGAGTGTACCTCGCTTAGGGAGGGCGTAATGTATTTTTTTGTTTTAATGTGGTTTCTGTCAGAGGACAAACATGACACAAACATTATTAATGTTTTCCGATGCTGTAAAAATGTGTCGAATAAATATTAAATGTCAAAATTTCGTCACCGAATATTTGCGTGCGTTGCCTTCATAATAAGGCTTTTTATTTTTTTCAGCTCCAGACATATTTGTTTTTTGTTTATTTTGGTCCAATATGGCTCTTTCAACATTTTGGGTTGACGACCCCTGCTCTAGGTGAAACCACTTGGGTCATATCTTTGCAGAGGGTCGCTCTTTTAATTTACAGTAGGTGCCATTCCCCTCTTCTCAAAAGAAACTCAATCAGACAATGCCGCCACAATCCATCATTCCAGCAGCATGGTTAGCATGCTTGTAGGAAGCATGTCACATCATCACGTTTTTTTGACACGATGACTGCCTGAGGTTGTCATCACCATGCTCGGTTGTTAGTCTTTGGAAAACACTGTTAACAAACAGTGTTGATCAGATGAGTGTGATGAACGACATGATGTCTCTCAGGTTGGCAGGATGTTGCATACCTGGCAAGGAAAACAGATGCTTTCATGATAAGGGAGGGAACGCTGCAACTATTAGTGTGTATTGAAGTGCCGATGAGCGGTTACAACCGAGCGAGTGTAGACAGGAACACCGGACGGTCTGCCGGCAGCGTCAACCAGCAGCCTTGATATGGCAAACGGTGATCAGACACACATTCTTCGGATGGGGCCACACAAGCGTGTGCCAACACACCCACATAGAACATGCAAAGAAGCCAAGGCCTTGATGTTCAACCACTGACTCTCCTAGACACATATACACACACACACACACACACACACACACACACACACACACACACACACACACACACACAATACAATAAATCCTGATTTATCTAGCGCTTTCACAACAGCTACAGCTGTAACAAAGTGCTTTACAAAACAGTTAACAAAGTAAATAATAAACACAACACACAACATAAAAACACGGACAGTCGTGCAATCTTAACCACTTTTCCCTCAATACGCTTTGTCGATTGAAGGAGTTCAAGATGAAAGAGGAGAGAATCAAAATGTCCTTTCACTTTCCTCGTGTTGCTTTCCATTGTGAGCAGACGTGTTCAATAAACATTTTTATTTTCAAAAGAGCGTGGTTTCGTTTTTCGAACAATTTCGGTTTTCAAACAGCCTTCTGGAACGGATTATGTATGAAAACCGAGGTTTGACTGTATATATATATATATATATATATAAAAAAGAGAGAGAGTTTTGTTTTGTTTTTGTTTTTTGAATAATAAAGAGAGAAAGAGAGTTGTTGTTTTTTTTTTTGGGTGGGGTGCTTGAGCGCACCTAAAAATTAGAGGAATTTCCAGAGCATTATTTGATGATGAGAATGACATGCTTGGGGCCATTTTTCTGTTGTGATCGAGGCAGCGTTGCAGACGCAAATGCAGGGAAGCTGGCAAGCAAGGTAATGTGCAGGATGTACTGAAAAAGGAGATCCTCCCGCCTCCCAAAAATTTCAACACAAAGGCAAACAAGGCATGCGGACTCAGATTAATAAAAGTACAAACACCGAGACACCAAATAGCAAAGCAAAACCGGGACTAAACTCACAAACCACCAAGACGCCAACAGAAGCAGTAATCAAGGAACAGGGAACTAAATACAAGCAAACAGATGTGACAACTAAAAACACCTGGACAAGACAAAAGTGGCTGACTGAGGGGGGCTGATTGGTAAACACGAGCACAGATGGACACAAAAACCGAATGAGCCATGCATGGAAAAGCAGACAAAACAAAATCTAACACAAATCCCCACATCATATTTTCTCCAAATTCAAGCAGCTGTCACGTCTATGTCATGTGTCTGGATTAAGAATTACCGCACACTATTCACCACGATCCACAAATATACTTTGGCCTGCGTTCTCCTAAGTACCAAGCACAGATTTTTCTATTGGCAATCCACAAAAAATGTTTCTCCGTTGTGTAATTTTATTCTTCACTTTCATGGGTGGGCAGGCACTCCAAAAAGAAATACACAAGCAAGTCATTTTCCAATAATATGGTACAAACGAGAAGCGCACATTTAATTTCCAACAAGGTTGATATCAATGATGACACTTTTTTTTTTTTTTTTTGGTATTCTTTGTGTCACCCTGTACAGGAGACAGTATAAACCCTCGCGCAGCAGGGCTGATCGGTCGCAGTGGGCCGCAGAACAAACAGCCGTTCATGGTGGCCTTCTTCAAAGCTACCGAGGTGCACCTGCGAAGCATTCGTTCAGCACATGGAGGCACCAAGCAGCGGAACCCGAATCGCTCCAAAGGGGCCAAGAGCCAAGAGGCCCTGCGAGTGGCCAACATTGCAGGTAATCAACTAAAGTGTGTGTCAGGAGAAGTAAACCACACACACACAAACACACACACACACACAAATAATCTTCTGTGGTCTTTCCCCTTGTTTTCATGAAAAAACAAAACATTAAAAGGTAGTTTGACAAAACTGCCACTCTGAAAACATCCACACTAATATCGTAGTATGGCTCTTCAAACCAACCTGAAATCTGAAAAGCACAATGACTGCTCTGCCATATTGTTTGGCAGGCCCCAAAAGAATCTTTGCAAAATTAAATTATGAGATTACAAACATGTATAAACACCAGTCCAGCTGCCTGACGAGTTTGGCAACATCCTATCCAACAATTCACTTGCCAAGAAGCCCGCCAGGAATCTGCCACTTTATCCATTTCTGAACATGAATGCAATAGTTTTTTTTTTTCTTTTAACCAAATGACATAAGTAATCATTGTTATGCAATACTAACAATCATAAAATTTGACAAAGACAAAACATGCAATCCGTATATCCAATGACCTTTCACTGGAGGTGTGAGAGGTTCATGTTTATGGGACTCGCTGAAACATTAGAGTGTAATGCCAGAGGTTTGAGTATCCCTCGGCCGCCTTTGTTTATTTGCACAAGCATTACAAGCACATTAGTTTCCATGTTCTCTACGAGGAGGTAAAAGGTTTTTATGGCAGAGCACATCTGGGCTGTGCTGTGGGGCAACCGGCGTCACAAACACACAAGCCTGTTTAGAATTTTTTTGGACCGGCATGGCCTTAAGTGGATGATGAGAACCAGTCGTTCCTGATCACTGACCAATTTGGACCCTTCTTGGCCAGAAATACAGCACAGCTAAAAGTTTGCCTGATGTTCGATATATATCACTTCTTACACGTTAGTAGTCTGCATCACAGCTACATTAACGATCACTTGAGTAGAATGTGTAGGGACATTTCGGAAGCTATCTGCCAAAAGATCACAGCTGCATTTGTTGGTATTTCAAATGCCCGAAGCGCGGACACTCCACTAACGTAAACTTTTTTTTAAAAAATGACGAAAATTGACATGTGTTTATCGTACGACAGCGAAGATATGCAGTCACGGCGCCAACAGCTGTATTCCTCTGACCATTTGTGTTATCAAGACGACCCACAAATGACATATTCCAGGGTAATATATGTGGTGCAAAACACCACATATCAAATAAAATAGTTTTGGGTTTTTTTTCATTGTGATTGCTGTAGTAGTTGGCAGTGGTACTTACTCCAACTCAAAATATGGAGCAATTTAAAAAATAAACAAGTGCTGTTGTTGGCAACCACTATCTATTTGTAACTGTTCTGAGAAGCAAATGCAGATTTCCAATATTTTTGTAGAATATCGTCAAATTATCATGATGGATTTTTTTTCTTTGACTATTGAGATATTTCTTGAGTTCAGATCACCCACAGTTGTTGTCGGAAGGGAGCACATGGGTATGATGCCCCCTAAAAAGTATTGCCGGGTGGAGGGGTGATGATAGTTGCCATCTATGACGCTGGATGCCCCTTCAGAAAGGATTGTTGATGGGCGAATGGAAGATTTTGTCTTCTCATCATGCATGGGGCAAAAGCCCACCCTTGCCTGGTAAACAATAAAACAAATGAAGAGAAAAGCAAGAGGACAAAGGTTGGTGCCGCAATGTGACCTGTGACCTGGGTGGCCCATTTAATAGCAAATTGCTGCTGGCTCTGGAGGAGATTTCTGATAGCAGCTGTTGAAATGTTTGAGTTTGGATCTGCATTGTGTCAATTGGGCCTAATTGTTGTTCGAGAATGACAAATGTCTCCCCCTCTCCTTGTACAGAGAATAGCAGCACTGATCAGAAGCAGGCGTGCAAGAAGCATGAGCTGTATGTCAGCTTCCGAGATCTTGGGTGGCAGGTACGAACTCCTCACATTTAATATCACGTCTCAGCCTCCCTCTGTGTCTGCTTTTTAAATCATGCTTCCGTCCCATGCCCAGGACTGGATCATCGCTCCTGAAGGATACGCAGCGTACTACTGCGAGGGCGAGTGCGCCTTCCCACTCAATTCGTACATGAACGCCACAAACCACGCCATTGTGCAAACGCTTGTGAGTAATCTTGAGGACTTTTTCGAATCTAATCAGACCATCACCTTTCAAAACAATACATCTTTATTGATATAGCGCTTTGACAACAGCTGCAGCTATAACAAAGCGCTTTACAGAACATTTAACATAAAATTTAAACAAATATTATAACAGAATGCATAACATTAAACATGGACGATAATACAATCCTACCAACTATTCTACAATCGCTTTGTGGTTAGAAGCAAACCCTGGATGACCATGCACCTCTTTTTTTTCTGCTCTTGGCGCACGCAGGTTCACTTCATCAACCCGGACACAGTTCCGAAGCCTTGCTGTGCTCCCACGCAGCTCCACGCCATCTCAGTGCTGTACTTTGACGACAGCTCCAATGTCATCCTCAAAAAGTACCGCAACATGGTGGTCAGAGCTTGTGGCTGCCACTAGACGCTGATCACCTTGTCACATACTAGCACACACACACACACACACACACACACACACACACACACACACACACACACACACACACAAACAAACTCGTGTAGTCGGACACAATCCTGACTAGTTTTGGCGCAAGCACATGCGGTCCAAGACAATTTCCTGTGTGCAAAAAGCTCTTGTTTCGCCTACAGGGTTGTCTCCAAGTAAACACTGTGTTGTGTGGCTGAAATGGAATTTTAAATTACACACACACACACACACACACACACACACACACACACACACACACACACACACACACACATTTGTGCTCTCTACTGTGCATACAAGACATTTTAAGCCATGTATTCATTCACCATCAACAATCTTGTTTATTTTCAGTTGTGTTAGTAGCTTCTTTTGCTGTAGATGTTTATTTCTTACGAGGGAACCTGGATGCAACTTTGGACTTAAAGAACTGTATAAACGAATTGTAAATAATGTTGTCATACCAAGCAAATAGTGTATTTATTTCCTGGGATGTCAATCAGGTTTGTTTGTTTGTGACGCTGACAGCTTTGTTTCCCACACAAAGAACTAAACCTAAAATGGCCCCGGGATTGACTGACCGCCAGTCCAGGGTGGATCCTGCCTCTCGTCTGAAGTCAGCTGGGCTAAGCTCCAGCTCACCCACCGCACTAATGAGGACAGCAGTATAGAAAATGGCTGGATACATAAGCATAAAATGACTCCGACAGGACTATGCGCACACTTGTCATGGAAACAGTGACTCTATTTAATCAGTGGAAGCTGCTACACAAACTTGAAAGCTGTTTTCACAAAGTGTCTGAGGGAGGAGTGGGGAATGGCGCCGAGTGGGCTTTGTGTGAGCAGCCTTTTGTGCTCCTGACATGTTCAGGTTCTCTGCTGTAATAAAAGCTGTCTTATTCAAGGTGGTGGATTTGTTTGTGAGCTATCAAAGATAAGTCACAGTGCCCTAAGCTGCTACAAATGATTTTTTCAGGCATTTAATGTGGCTGTTGTTGTTATTAGATTTGAAGGCAGATTTTGGAAACTGGCGGCATGGTGGTTGACTGGTTAGCACGTCCGCTTCACAGTGTGGAGGTGCAGGGTTCAATTCCACTTCCGACCATCGTCCATGGAGTTTGCATGTTCTCAATGTGCCTGTGTGGGTTTTCTCCGGGTACTCTGGTTTCCTCCCACATTCCAAAAAATATGCGTGGCAGATTGATGGAACACTCTAAATTGTCCCTAGGTGTGATTGTGAGCGTGAATGGTTAATCGTCTATGTGTGCCCGGCGATTGGCTGGCAACCAGTTAGGGTGTACCCCGCCTACTGCCCCAAGACAGCTGGGATAGGTTCAAGCACGCCTGCGGCCCTCGTTAGGATAAGCGGATAAGAAAATGGATGAATGGATAAATTTTGGATTCTGATCATAAATTTGATAATTTTAGATTGTGTACCCAATAATATTACAGCTGATGATTTTATTACTTTTTGTGGTATCTTTTTGTGGCCTTGACATACAACGGTACTCTGGTAAGTTAGACTAGGAGTAGGAAGGCATGAAAAAAGGTTTGACGTTTCCTTGAGTTGCATTTCATTCAAAAATCAGCAGGCACTGATAATGAAAGACTGATGAGAAGGAAATCCTTCTGAAGCCATCTGTGTGACACGTCAAAATATTTGCCAACATAAGGAGAGCATTTGTAGATGTATAGGCTTTAGTTGGAACGACCAAAATAAAGAATGAACGTTTTTAATCATTGACTTACACACTCATATAGCAGCATGCTAACTAATAGTTGACTCATTGAAAAGCATCTAAAAGAGCAGCAGCATCCAGTGCTTGACACTGACGTCACCTTTCTAAAATAATGTCTTCTTTTGCCCATTTTATCCGAAAGCACGAAAACAGAACGAACTTATATTATATTATATTAATTAATAATTCCATTTCAGGGGTAGAAATGAATGTACAGTAGGATGAAGCCGATTTGAGCAAATATGATTCAAAATAGGATTCAGGGCATTATTCTTAGAGAGCTGTTCATTCAATGAAGTATGTCTACAGATGTGAGAAATAGTGCTGAAAGACCACGAGCAAAAATAGGAGCTGTTCTTATTCATGCAAGCTGAAATGAAAGAAGAGCATTATTGAGCATTTTGGTGTCCATGATAACTGCAATTCACCGGTCATGTAAAAATGTGACGACACCGGCATCTTGTTTGTAGCAAATGCAAACACACTGCCCTCTAAAGGCCAAAAAAACACACTGCATATGTTTGTTGAATTATGTATTGTTGTTTGATAAATTAAGGTGTTACAGTCCTCTCCGTTCTGAGGGTGCTTCCCGCCCGTTTTATTTTTATTTTCTATTCTTATGGTGAGCGTAACTTCCAATTATATCTTTCAGTCTCACCCGCCCCGCACACAATACTTTTTATTTATTTATTCGTGTGTGCGTGTGCAATGTCGTTGTTATGAATAATCCTGCAACGAATACCAGAGCGTCAAACGCTACACGGCAATCTCCTCGAAGTCGTAGACGTAAACTACTTTCGTTTCCTGATATGTGACCTTTGCCTCTGTTGTAATCCTTGTATACGTTTATGATTACGTATTTAAGGTCGTTTGTGCAACCTGGAAACCGAAAGTATGTAGCGCGCGCCAAACTTTCGCTTTCGGTTCCCAAAGACCTCGTGCAGTGCTGTACTTTACACGTGCCCCGGGCCTCTCTCATTACTTTTTTAGTGGTCAACTTAAACTTGAGTTACAATACGGATTTGCCAGGGGGTCGATTGGTTGGACCAAGCCCGTGTGCTGAGTGTGATGAAGATGCAGGAAGGGCCCAGGACGCACTTGAAAGAGTGGCTCTTAGCCCAGGTGGAGAGCGGCGCCTATGAGGGTCTTTGTTGGGAGGACAGGGACAAAACCATGTTCAGGATTCCTTGGAAGCACGCATCCAAGAAGGACTACAAGCAGACGGACGATGCTGCACTTTTCAAGGTCATCTTTCAGCGACTTTAACATTCTGATTTGCTGTATAAGTACCGCAAGGACAAACGCTCGTTACTTCCTTTTTGATTTAGTGATAATCGAAATTTACAGAATTATCTCAGAATCATACTATCATTATTATTGTACATCAACAGCAGGATGTATGAATAACTTTGAAAGTAGATGTAAATGTCTTGAAGGTTTTGAAATATTATATTTCACAGTTACTTATTTACAATAATAATATATAATGTTCGGCCTAGTGGTCTAGTGATTACCGCGTCGACCTCACAGTGCAGAGATGCAGGGTTCGATTCCAACTCCGGCCTCCCTGTATGGAGTTTGCATGTTCTTCCCGTGCCTGCTTAGATTAGATAGGCACTCCGGTTTCCTCCCACATTCCAAAAACATGCATGGCAAGCTGATTGAACACTCTAAATTGTCCCTCGGTGTGAGTGTGAGCGCGGATGGTTGTTCGTCAATGTGTACCCTGCAATTAACTGGCAACCGGTTCAGGGTGTGCCCTACCTACTGCCCGGAGACAGCTGGGATAGGCTCCAGCACCAACGCAACCCTTGTGAGGATAAAGCGGATCGGAAAATGCATGGATGGATGGATAAAAAGATTTATAATTGTCTATAAATACCACAAATTGGCACTAAAAGACTAGTTTTGTCTAAATTATACTACACAACTCACTTCATCATAGTTACTTCCTCAACACCAACATGGTGCCAAAACAATATGAGAATAAAGCAATGATGAATGTACATGTTGGGTTCACTGTAATAATCAATAACCATACAAAGGAAATTAAGTCATGTAAATCTGGCATTCCATTTTCTTGGTCCAAGACCTTCTTGGTCGAAATCAGTCCACATGTTTAATTTCAAAGGAAGTCCTTTGAGTTTTATGAAGCCCTGATAACGTCAATTCAAATTTGTGCCTGCAATTGGTTGATGAAATTTTTACCTGGCACTCCTGCAATGGCAAATCAAAACAATGTAGTTCAAGCTCTAGAGCTACCGAAATCAGAAAATAAAAATCATTGTCTTTGGCAAGTCATTTAATTGACTTCTAGAGAGAGTTTTAATTGCACCGGGCGGCATGGCTCAGTGGTAGAGTGGGCGTCTCCCAATCCGGAGGTTGGGGGGTTTGATCCCTAGCCATTGTAACTTTGTTGAAATGTCCTTGAGAATGATCCTGAACCCCCAGTTGCTCCTGATGGTGTGCCATCAGTAGGTAAATGAGAAAAGTACCAAAGGTAGAAAAGATGTTTTGAAATTCTATCAAGACCCCAACTTAAGTAATTTAACGTGCAAATGAATGTTTGTGTGCTCAGGCCTGGACCTTGCACAAGGGGAAACACAGGGAGGGACGAGACAAGGACAACCCCACTTTGTGGAAGACTCGTTTGCGCTGTGCACTGAACAAGAGCACAGATTTCCAAGTTGTCCATGAGCTGAGCCAACTGGACAGCTCCGAGCCTTATAAAGTTTATCGCATCCAGCGAGGCGACGCAAAGGCTTGCCGAGCTGGTAAGGAGAATATTTTGAATTGCAGTGTTTTAAATCATACCTGACTTCATGAGGAGCACATCCTGATTGTTTATTCACAGAGTCTACGCCGACAAAGAACCACCTGATCAGCCAAGTTAAGACATCGCCAAGGAGCCCCGATTTCCAAGACAAACAGGTTAGTCTTGGTGAAAACAACAACAACTCACAAATAACTATTGCACAAAAATGGCAGCGATTCCTGTACTTGGTCACCAAAAACGTTTTCCAATATTGAAAGAAGAACCCTATTTGGAATGATGGGCAATGATGTGGCAGGGGCAATTCAATCAGGTATCATTTTTGGTCAGACAAACAAGAAGAAAAAAAAAGATGTGAATAGTTTATTGAGCCATGATGTCCGGTGTAATTATAGACAAACTGTCAAGGCACATGCTCCTTGTTGTTGCTCTGATGAGAGATATTAATGGGTTTAACTGTTTGAACCTGTGTCTTGTTGTTTTGTTGTCAAAAAGGAATCATTTCAAGCTTACGACGAAGAGCCAGAAGAAGTCCAAAGACAACCCCGTAAGAGCTTAACTTTTCAGCCCGCACCTAGCTACACAAACACGCACACAGCTACGACATTTGAGTTGTTCATTAATAGGTGGACAAAATAAGGGTTCACAATGTGAACATTCCAACTCACCAGAATATGTCCCTTGCAAGGGAATGTTGGTTAGGCCACCATTTTTTAAAAATCCAGTTGGCATGTTTCAAACCGGTCTTTGAAAGTGCAAGTGCGTGCATGTGTGTGCGCATATGTGAAAGTGAAAGTTTGACTTTGCTGTCTGCAGCAAGGTCGGCATTACAAATTCAAATCTGTTCTTGATTTACTCATACCAATTCACAACATCAGCGGATTTTTCAAATATGAGAGACACACATATTAAAAGGTCAGACTAAGCAGGCGTTTGCTCACTGGGGTTATAGTGTGTGGAGTGGAAAAGACACCACACACACACACACACGCACGCACACACACACACATACACACACACACACACACACAAGATATGTCCACTACATATTGGCCCCCAAACCAGATGTCTGTTGTAGTCACGGGACTGACCTATAATTGGCAGTACAACTTCACAGGGCAGAAGAAGAGAGAAGTTGTCGAACTTTGAAGAACCTCGGATAATTGCTAGCTTATCTGAAAAGAGGAAATGATCAAATTGTACTCATTTGGTGAGAAAATTATTTATTAATAACAAATAATGTATCTTTGTCCATCTATCTATGCCAGCAACTTATACTGACAGAAAGAACAAATAAATCATATTCTATTAGATGGCAAAACATATGAAATTGACATTTGTATCTTCTTTTTGTGACAACTTTGTTTGGTGGTGTGCTGTGCGATTTTTCAAACTTAAAAAATGTGCCATGGCTCATTAAGGTTGGGAATCACTGGGCTAGATCGAGAGAGCTACGCAGTTCAGACAAAGTGCTGACGCTTTATTTCCTCTCTACCCTAGGTGATTTAATGATGAAACAAAAGTATTCTGAGCTGACAGAGAAAACGAGTCACTCTCAGCACTCTGCTTTAATGGCTTGCACCGCTCTAAATACCATATCAGGTAAGGGGGGTGAGGTGGGGGGAATACCGCACATATCACTGAACAGCCGGCTAATTTGCATGTGTTCACAGATTTTCGAATGCAGGTGACACTGTTGTATCAGGGCCAAAGCGTGGCGAAGTGTACCACCAAGAGTCCCGATGGGTGCTTCATCCTGCAGGGTCGTGTCCCTTTAGGAAGCGAGCGTATATACGGGCGTTGCACCACGGAACGGCTCAACTTCCCTTCCCCAAATCGCAAACACATGCCGTCATGCACGGTGGACGCAATAACCCGACTTCTCTGCCATCTGGAAAGCGGTGTACTCTTATGGGCTGCTCCTGATGGGGTGTTCATCAAGCGATTCTGCCAGGGCAGAGTGTACTGGAGTGGCCCCCTGGCACCCCACACTGACAAGCCAAACAAACTGGAACGGGAGAAGACCTTCAAATTGCTGGACACGTCAACATTTCTTAATGGTGAGTGACCATGTCTTTTTGTTGTTGTTGTTGTTGTGAGTTTAAAACATTTGTTGAACACCATTGACAAAACATGAGCCATTGTAAATTACAATTTTATAACATAAATTGTTGAATTGCAGTATATGAGAAATCAAAGGCTCCAAAAAATGTCCACAGATCTTCAGAGCTGTTTACAAGGAAAGGGAGCACCACCCAATTGTACAATTGAACTCTGCTTTGGGGAGGAGTACCCAGACCCAACAATCCCTAAAACCAAGAAGCTTGTCATGGTACAGGTGGGTCAAAACTCTGAGGTCATGATTTGACTAATTATTGAAGAAATCTTTTCCCATTCACCTCAGTATTGTACGGGGCCCCTCAGGTGACATGGAAGGGAAAAAAACCCTTTGCCTTTCCTCGCAAATATTGCAAGGGGGTGCAAAGTGTTTTTTTAAAATCTTTTTTTATTTTTTATTTATTTTTTTTTTTTGCAAGGGAGCATTTTTTTAAAGTACGCATGTATGTACTTTCCGGTCATCTTCTAAATGAAAGCAACGAAGATGGAGCGTTTTCATTCGTGGGAGAATTTGATTGAATTTTACTTTGAAATGGGCTGTAAATAAAAATACATCAAATCTGTTATTGATTTTAAGCACGGTTTCCAAATAAGTGAAAGACATCTGAAGCATACTGTCGTCTCTCAAACAGCCGAGCATTAAGCGAGGGTAGCCAACCTGACCCGGAAGTGCTTAAACGCGCATTAAAATGTTCTATTGCAGATCTCCCATGTCACTTTCGGGGCTCCGTAGTAGGGCTCCAGAGTGTTCCGCTTGCAGACAGCATTTGCATTCAGACAGATGCTGACTCGAAATCAGTTGTAGTACCCTGCAAGCACCAGTAGAGTGTGGTGCAACACCGATTATGTACAACACTAACCTTCTGCCCTGCCCAGGTGGTACCCGCGTTTGCAGTGGAACTGCTGCAAAAGCTCCGCTTGGAGGAGATGAAGGAAAAGCCAGACAGTTCTGTCACTAGTCAAGTGAAAGAAGGTCAGAACGTCAACCATCCTGCAGTGGGGACAACATAAGCCAGCAAAAGGTTTATTTCTCCTTTCACTATCATGCAAGCAAGACTTTGCCACCAAAGATTTTTTTGTTCAGGGAAATAACTTTGATATGGTATTTTCAATGTACATCTTTTTTTTCAGCACAGAGAAGCCTGTCAACTTATTGCTTTCATATTCAACCAGTGTTGAAAATGATGTGGAGAAACCTTTTCGTTATGCATATTCCAAATGCAACCGCAGAAAGGGAAATTATGATGATAAACACAACAGGAAATCAGAAACTCCTCACTTCAAAGTCCAAATGTGTGAGATAAATTAAGCGTTTGCATGAGGTGACTCACCTTCCTAGCAGAAACCCTCTGCATGTTCATCACTGTGTCCGTCGCGTGTCATCAAAACCCGAACAAGTAGAGGGCACTGCATTGTGTTTGACTGCCAGTTCCGGCTGTACTTCATTGCCTTTCGCTCAAACGACATATTTTTGAAAGCTAACAAAAGTTTTGAAACAGTTGTTTTTGCAGATTTGAGGATATGCTTGGAATAAATCACAAGTGCTGATGAAATCTAAGAAGCTTTTTTTCCCATTTATTTCTAGCGAACATCATATAACAGATACACAATTTTAAAAAATATACATTTTGTAGCTATGGCATTGAGAAGGAATAATTAACAGGGATGGTTTAGTCACAAAAACTAAAGTGAAAGAGTGTGCTGAATCAGAGGAGATACCCGTATCAGAGTTTAAAATACTTTCATCATTTTCCCTGCTTTCAGACATACTGCATACAGTACGTAACAATGACATGGATATCTACAAAGCATCATGTTCCAACGTGTTATTAGCACCATTACTCTCCCATCTCACTGCACTCTTTCCACTATTCAGCTTTTAATGGAAAAAAAAAACAGTGTGTAGACTATGGTACACATCTGTCCATGTGGGCACGATTGTCTCATACGCAGTTTTCATTAGTGTTCTCCCACCTCTTGTCAGAGATAATGTTAAGAACGTATTGGAGAGTAATGCCTTGACAAACAACTCATTGAAGGTGATAAGATCTGAAGAAGGCAAAGAGTCGTTCACGCTCTTACATTCATCTTGCCTGCCCAGACCAACGCGGACACAATCGTTGAGAAGCAAGAAAAAGTCGAACACAACATATCTGGACAAAGTTGCATTAAGTCTGTTTAGCATACTCACTGTACACATGTAAGATAACTTTTTTTGTGCACACACACACACACACACACACACACACACACACACACACACACACACATATATATATATATATATATATATATGTGTCTGCAATGAATCGCGCTTACTTTCATAACACTGATTGAAAAATTGATACCCTGCAGGACAACACTGTCGGTAAATATGTGTGTGGGACGACCGTTACATAAACAGAGTGAACACAGACGAGTGCTTGATTGTCTCACTAATGTCTTCAGTGTGTCTGCAAGGAGCCACCCAGACATCTTTCAGTGGCTGCTCCTTTCACTGCCAAGGAAAGGAGAACAAAAGAGGGGAGTAGAAGAGGGAAGGGGGGTGGGGGCCACAGGTAGACATATTTAAGCCTGAGGGCGGCAGTGTGAACACCCGTAATTTTTGATTGTTCTTTTTTTCCATACCTGCAACCCTAGTGGGAGCAACAGAGACATGGCGCGTATACATGTGCTTACTGTTGGTGAACGTGTGCATGTGCAAGTTTCTACTGCCACTTCATCAGCTTGGAGCCTTGAGGTAAATCCAGGAGGCTTTCATCAGTACCTGCCGAGGGAAGGACATCAGGGGCCGACCAGCGCCTTTTCCGAGAGCGCCCGAGCTCCCGAGTCTGAGGTTTTGCAGCCGGGATGTGCGGAGGCCCGGTAGGAGGCGAGTGCTGGGGGAGAGGGGGAGGAGGAGGAGGAGGTGGCATTTTCGCCCTGTGTGAGCTGCCCGAGCCTCCTGCCGCAGCCCTGGGAAGATGTTCTGCGCGTTGGACCTTGCAGGAGGAACGCACAAGTGTCCTGTGGAGTTGCTTGGGTGCTGGAGTGAGAGCAAGGCAGACATCCCCCTCTGTAAGCTGGCGGCAGGGAAGGCCATAGAGTTGAGTTGTTCTCCGAGGGCAGCAAGAAGACCAGCCTTGGTCCTGGACGAAGAACGGATACTCCACCAAGACCTTCAGGAACTCCTTCGGAAAAGCAAATGTGGGGTTTTTGTCATGTAAGAGTGACCATTCGAGGACGGCATAAAGCTGCTGATCAAGAAACCAACATGAAGTGCAACAACTCATTTTGGAAATGTTTTCACAAAAATCAACTCAATCGAAATGTTAATATTATCAAGGTACTATGTTTGTCCTGTATGTCATTCAAAATCTGCAAAAAATATATATTAGGCCTAGTCACGTTGTAATATAGGGGAGTGTTAAGACCCAGTGGAAGCTCAGCTAAGACATGTCTGCCATCGAGTGGTGATGTTCCAACTAAAAATTTCAACCGACTACTGCATATTTGTAAATCGGCAATTGCATATTTGCAAATTTTTTTCCCCCACCATTTTTTCATATTTGGGATTTATCCCATTTTTTCCGCGATTTTTCTTCACCAAGTCCCCTGTCTTTCCAGGGAAACGTAGGCATTTTTTGTTTTATCACCGTTCTGAAGCATTTCTTGGTTTTACTTGCCCATCCCTGCAATAAAGGATTTCAGGTGAACAGGGGAATCTTGATTGGGAGGGCTAAAGCACGAGCCTACAAAGCCAACCTAATTTGTGTAAGTCTGTTTTGGATGAGATTGCTTACCTGAGTGTTGCGGTCTGTGAGGTGGACCTGCAGTTGGCTGACACCCTGCGCACTGCTGGGCGAAATGAGCAACACCGTGCAGGTGCTGAGATGGAACTCTGGCGATGTATCAGCACTCCTCAAGAAGTCCTCTGTCTGCAGCTCCTCCACCTGTTTCAACTGCCCGCTGGCCAGCTCAATGAGCGACCCCTTGCTGAAGTGAGGTAGGAGCGCAGGGGGTGGTGGGTGAGGTGCAGGGGCTGAGGTGTGAACATGAATCCTGTTATATTTCAGGTGCTTCTCTTTGTCTTTGTCTCGCTCCCTGTTCCTATGCAGAGCCAGTTCTCTGTTTTTGTCTTGGTCTCTGTCATGGTCCTTTTGGGACCCGTCATGGCTGTTCAGTAGACCCTGTGGTGAGTTGGGGGAGTTCCTTGGACACTGCTTCTTTAGGCCAGACTCTGCTTGCAAGTTATACAGTGGTGTTCCTGAGGGACTGTAGGGTGGGTAGGACTGGGAGGTCTGAGGGCTGGGCTGGCAGACAGATCCCAAAGAGTAGTAGAGGTGAGCTTCAGCTGCTGGGGCCCCCGCGGTGTCGGGTAATCTCTCTCTACCTGCCCTGGGGTCTTGTCCCAGCGGATGGGGGCTGGTGGGTATTCTTTGCCGATGTCTGTCCTGCAGTGAGGAATGTGGCTCGTGGCCCTCCTGAGCCTGAGAGTCTGAAAAAATTGGGCCCCCGGACTGAGCATGAGGTGTCAGATCGTCCTGCTGTCTCCGGCCACCGTTAGTATGGGAGCTTTGTGGACTCAGGTCCAATCTAGTTCTGATACTATCATGTCCGTAATCACCTGGGAGCAAATGCCTTGAGGCAGAGGCAGTCCTGCTGCCCGGCCCATCCAGTCCATTGGGCCTCTTGCCCAGGTATCTGTTCCTGGCTTCAACTAAACTTGGCTCTTGAGGGTAGAGAGAGGTATGGCCAAACAGGTAGGACGGGGAGAAGAGAGAGGAACTGTAATCTCGTCGGCTACTGTTAATATAAGACCACGTCTCTCTCGAATCAGCTGGGAATGGAGTCTTAAACGAGCAAGTGGAGGACGGGGAGGAAAGGGGCCCTTCAGCTCGGAGCCACCTGGAGTGGTGAGGCAGTGGTGTTGAGAGGGGATCATCTCTCCATGCAGGAGACGCGGAACCCCTCCTTTCCACAACATGCCCTTGAAAGAGTGGAAGGGACACAGAGGAAGTGTAGCTCAAGGGCCATGGCAGGGGCAGTGGTGCTGGTGCAGGTAGGGCTGGAGGAGTGTGTAGGAAATTAGGGTTTGGGCTAGCGAGAGCTCGCTGCCTTTCCACGACCTCCCTGCTGCTCTCCCCTCGCTCTGCGTTAGTCCTACTCCGAAATGGTACAGGGGGCTTAAATTCATCGGGCGGCGGAAGGTAGCGTTCAGATGACCCTTGCCGAGACTCCCTCTTCTTGGGAGGGAGGCACTCTTTGCCGCGGTCAGGGCTGGGATTCATGGGTGGGCTCCAGCGGCGGTGGGTGCCCCCTACGTGTCGGCGTAGGCTAGGTCACATGGGCCTCACGGGAGAATGGAGGGGACACACAGAGGGGAAGGCTGTGGCACAGCATCACTGTTTGATCACTGTGGATTTTGCAGAGTTGAGGACACTCACCTGCAGAGGACGACATGGGTGAGATAGGCAGAGATCACTGGAGGCCGCTCGAATAGCCAACAATTGTGCTGAAGTACGATTTTGGAATAATCTGACTCCAGTAAAAGTGAAAAGTTGTCCTCCAACTGCTGACTTAAATGACTAGTCTGTGGGAAAACTACTTGAGGAGTGAGTAACTGGTGAAAAATTCACGATTTTTTTTTTCTTTTATGAAGGTCAAATGAACAAAAATATAAGATAGGTATGTCAAAATTCAGACATTGCCGACACTGAAAAAAAAACGGTGTTGAATTTACTGCAATTTTATTTCGTCAAGTGGCTGCACAAAATAAAATCTTTTTGCTCCTGATCCATTTTTTAAGTCAATGTGTAGTCTACCTAAAAATGGATGTGGAGCTTGATGATTTTATTTTGATAGTCTACTTAAAAAAAACGAACGTGGGTACAGAAGATTTTATTTCGTACAGCCACTTGATGAAGTAAAATGGAGTAAATTCAACCAAAAGTTTTGTCAGTGTACTTTTTCGCAGTCAGGTAAACAGATGGGACCGATGCGTCTCTCCTGAGTACAGAGCACGCTGTTTGTTTCCTCTGTTGTTTCTGCCATGCTTCGTTTCATGTAATGAGTCACTTTCACAACTTTGCCGGTGGGAGGGGCAGCAGAGGCTTCATGTGCGCTCATACGACTGCAGAGCTCCGTTTGATCGACGAAATGGAGTCAAATTTCACTCACGGTTACGTTGGTTTGCTGAAAGAGATTCACATGACAGCGCCCGAGGCAGAAGTCTCTCTGACTAACCAAAACAAATACATCGCACAAGTAATAAGGGATAAAATCAAAAGAAGCTTTTGGAACGTAGCTCACTGTAACAGAGTCATAGCGGTAAAAAGTAGCTTGCATTAAAACTACTCGCACAAGTACAATTCATCCCAAATCATTCTTTAATACAGTAAATACATCACGTTGCTACCCACCTTGGGAGGTCAATAGGGGTGTTCACACGGCACACATTTGCATCGGTGCTGCACCGACGTATTTTGTTGCGATATGTCTTACACCGGTGTAAATTTTGTGGAGCGTTCACGCGTAAAAAGCTGCTTACTAAAGAGAAGCGTGTTAACCCCGGTGCAGCCCCACTTGCGTTCACATGGCAGTTTCTGCGGCCGTGCAATACGATAGTTATAAGATGGAAATAAAACATGCGCATTCGTAAAGTGTACTTCCTTTTCCCTGCCTTCTTTGTGACATATCGAAAAACCATGGTTTATACTTCTCCGGACAAATCAACGCTGTGGTCTATTAGACACCGTAAAAGGATGAGAGAAGAGAGAAACGAAAGATGACGGAAGTACATCAGAGCACGAAAGCAACGCATTCAAAACCTGTATGTAATCAACTCTTCTCATGCGTAGCGAGTCTACCCCTGTAGCGTTCACACGTCCCATTTTATATCGGTGCTGCCTCGCAAACTAGCATTTACTCCGGAGTAAATTTTTAAACCACCTCCTGAGCAGGGTTAAATTTGCTCCGATTTAAGCTGTTTTCAGGGGCTACACCGGTGTAACTTTGTACGTGTGAACGCTCTCGGGGGGCAGCCTTGGTGCTACACCGGAGTAAAAGTTGCCGTGTGAACACCCCTATAAATCGTGGATATGTGAAGATGGGCTTCCTGTCAGATGTTGCCAAATTTAAAAAGGTCAGAACTCTTACTTTTGAAAGTCATGGCTAATTAGTCATTACCTGAGTGCAGTGTGGTGGGACTGAAACTATCCAACTTACTCATTTCATTCAAACACATCACTCCCACATGTTGGCTAAAAATACTCCTGAAAGCTAATGAAGCAGGTGCATTCCTGCATGCACGTACAAACACACACACACACACACACACACACACACACACACACACACACACACACACACACACACACACAGCTGGAGTTTTCATCTCTTTATCTTTGGTTGCAATATGGAGATGTGTTTTGATATTATTTTCATATACCACCCCTATGACACCCGCTGGCAGACTCAGGAAGTGTACTATAGGCACCACACCACCCTCCCAAAATTCACCCCTCCGGCTCTTCGCTTTCACACACACAGACAGCAACAGACACACAACTACTCCCACAGCCGGCACTGCTTGCTCCCCCAGTGACAGTCAAAGCTGGTCACCACCCACCCAAAAGCTGACAGAGACAGCACCAGTTGTTGTGAATAGTGAGGAGCTGTGTATGCCAACTAAATATTTGTCGAAAGAGGCGACTGTGTGACTGCATGCCATGTTGCTCGGGATATGGGAGAATGTGTGTGTTTATTTGTTTCGGTTTTTTGTGTGCGTTAGCATCCTCCAATGTGTCTCAGACTTCGCCGTCTTTTTTCATTCAGCAAAAAGTGCGGGGGAGCTCCACTAATTCTCTTCCACCCGGCCGTCCCTCGAAACGAAACGCATCAAAATGAGCCCGTTCCTTGCCATCTTGTCATCCCAGCTGTTCCCCCCACCCCCACAGAGAGAATGCCACACTGCCTCTTGGCCCCACACTCACCCGACAACAACCTACAGTACCGCCGTCTCACCATCCACCATACTGTCACCATGGCAACTGCGTCTGCTCGCACATCTTGTCGGTTAGGGAGGTGAGATAGGGATACTCCACAGAATGGCGGGTAAACTGTTGCTCAACAGGTTTTGAGGTCCAAAAACAGATGAAGTTTTGGAGACAAGGAAGCTGTTTATGCATCTGAGTGGAAAGCTGAAAAGTTGGCAGTTTGCTGTGGGTGTGAGATGCTGTGTCTCACTCACATGGGCGCACACATTTTCTGCCAAAGTAATATTAACAAATAATTTTATGCCATAACTTCATTGTACACTCTTAGATGTTTTCACAGTCCCTCTAAATGTCTTATAAACCAAAAATAATTAGAAGAAAATATCCTTTCAGAAGCAAAAATCTAGAATATCACTTAAACATTTTTCATTTTTAATTTGGTGGCCCATGAAGGCCTTCTATAAGTTTGGCCTTTGTGGTAAAAATTAGGGATTTTTGATGCCGCTTTTTTCAGACTGATACCAGTATGCGTACATTGTTCACTGTTTGAGGAGGGACTCACCATTGCCGAATATCAGCCTCTGCACGATTGACGTTACCTTAGTATAAGTCTTGGTACTCGCCCATCCCTACTAAAAATAACGGATAAAGTAGAGAATCATATGTATCTGACATATGACAGAGGTAAATGCCATGCAATCAAATATATGTCAGTGCGCAGTTCCCGCGTTTTGAATGTTAATGGGAATGGTTGTCTGTATCTATACACTTAGAATACCTGTCAAGTGTTTGGAAACGCCCTTTCATTCAGTATTTTTTCATTATTTAAAAAAAAAAAATTCTGAATTGCAAATGAATACTTAAGACATCGACATTCAGAAAGATTCTTGATTTATTTAATGATAAAATGTTTTAGAATTAGATTCTTCAAAGTAGGCACCTTTTGCCCAGATAAGAGCTTTGCACATCTTGGTATTTTCTCAGTCAGCTTTATGATGTGAATGAGGCTTTATCAACGACTCTTATTCACATATGAATGACTTTTATTCACAACTGTGCATTATCAAGAGTTAATCACTTAGAATTTCTTGACTGCGTCATGTGTTTGAGACCATTTGAATTCGAAGGCATTTCCAAACTTTTGACTGGTACTGTAGTACGTGTCCAGCGATTGACTGGTGGCTGGTCTACCAAACGCTTTCGAACATGTTTGGACATGAAGGAAAAATAGACAAAACAACACTACCATGTTTGAAAATGTACCCCGAAATGCTAAACCGTTAAATTTAATGAATATTAACCATCTATAATTTTCTCTGAAAGTATTCTTTTGTACACCTGAAGCACTTTCAGGTTCACCCGCATTCCTTAAACTAACTAACTCACTCGAGCTAAACTATTAATCTGCATTTTTTTTCTCCAGAAACGAATATCCTTGTCCTTTTCATAACCCCATTTAAAAAAAAAAAAAAAAACATGTTTCAGCAAATAAACCTGTTTGAACCCTGCCAACCAGTATGAGAAAACAAAGAAGGAGTATTGTGCATGTGGAGGAGTTTGCTGTGAAATGTCTTCTGAAAGAAGACTCCTACACTGTGCACACATGTATATAGAGCTGCTCTTTCGGTGCCGTCATTTTGCTGTGGGAGTGTTAAACTATACCAAACCTCGCTGATCATAGCAATGTCAGGCACTCTTTCACATCACACTTTGATTTCTTTGGTAAACATCAGTGCAATTCATTTTAAGAGGTTTTTTTTTCTTTTTTAAATTTGGATAAATATTGCTTAATTGGAAGAAATATGTCTGGATACAATTTGCAGTCCAATCCGAGAATATTTTAGATTGAGGATTAAAGATTTGTATTCAATGGCGCCACATCATCCCGCCTTTTTGGCACAAAAGCATGCCTCTGTGCGGCTGTCAATCAGCTGTCCTTGGTGAGCGCAAATTTGATGTGGGCGCAGGGAGCCGGCTGGATGGAGCTGTGACGAGAGACTGACCTTAGTGCAAGCTGAGCAGATATCCCAGCGTAGCGTGCCATTCATATCCCAAACGTCCCGTGGGTTCAACCCACTCTTCAGCTCCTTACTCTGCCACACTGACACTTGTCAACATCTGCAGCAGCAACACACCCAGTGTTGCTGTGCGTGAAATGATATAGTCGAGCCAGCAAAATCAAGGGAAATAACTGAGAGCCCTATTCGTCTCTGCTGTGTGTCAAGTGTGTGTGCGTGTGTGTGCGCGTGTGTGTGTGTGTGTGTGTGTGTGTGTGTGTGCGCGTGTGTGTGTGTGTGTGTGTGTGCGCGCGCGTGCGGGTGTGTTTTTGTGTGTGCAAACGACTGAGGAAATGAGTAATATCTAGCAGTGAGAAACATGTCTGCTATGCCGAGCCACACAGGCAGACCAGTTGCTACTGCCGCCCACTTGCTTTAATCACTCTGAGGGATACAAACACACACAAATACACACAGGCAGACGCAAACAGCTGAGGACTCTGCACTTGATACTGCATGTCCACAATGTCGGGTACATTTACTGCATGGATCCCATCCAACCATTTTCGACGCTCGAGATTCAAAACCATCACCCTGAGAGGTCATCTCTCAATCCATTCATTACTTTTGCACACTGATTTATTAGGGATGTGCATCTCTATCACTGAGGCTGATATGATATGTATCTCAACACACTGCAATCGCATAATACATTCACAGTGTGTAAGGCTATTCAGATACAATACAATAAGATAGAAGTCACTCCAATTATGATACAAAACAGCCCAACCCAATATAATTATGCCAAAATATTTTATTCATTCCAAATGAAGTGAAATACACACTGTACAGCACAAAGAGCTTTCTTTTAATTTTGTGTTTCATCATGTCATGGTAGCTTTGAGTAATTGAGACGTTCACCAGGAATTGGGCCCGGGCCAGACCCAGTCCCACGAGCACAGTCTCGTGACTTCTAATATCTAATAAGGCTTATTCAAAAAGAAAGTAGTTGAAATGATGCAAGACAATCAAATCAGCTGTACCACGTTTGTACCATGTGCAGCTATACGTGATGTGTACTTTTCGGCGATCATCTCCCTATCACAAAGCTTGATTAGCAAACCTCTTTCGAAGCAGTGTCATACCAAATGAGGCTAAGAGGCCTCTCTGAAATTTTGGAAAAAGGAGTTTCGCAGTCCAAAGCAAAGAAACAAAAGTCCTTAACCACAAAACAATCAACAATCTGCTTGACATATTCATTTTCACCCATGTAATTGTATTCAATGTTCAGCATTCTATGATGGCTTGGCGATTATTTTGACTGATCTTGAAATTTTGGTGATCAACATAATGATTCATTGATTTCAAAACTTTACTAATTCAACTACCAAAACTAAATTTGAAATATAACTGAACAATGACTTAAAAAAGGGGTGTCAAACTCATTTTTGTCAGGGCCCACATTGTCGCTTTCTTTGGAAGGCCATTATGGTTGTGATAGCAAATAAAATGTAAGATCGCCTCATATTATGTCACCCAGCTGGCCAGGGAACGCCTCAGGATCCGCCGGGAAGAGCTAGAAGAAGTGGCTGGGGCGAGGGAAGTCTGGGTTTCCCTAATAAAGCTGCTGCCCCCGCGACCCAACCCTGGATAAGCGGCGGTAAATGGATGGATGCATAGATGGATCGCTTCATATTACATACACACAACAAAACTGGTGAAAGCATCAATAAAAACTGTTCAAATATTACATTTATTTTAAAGGGAGATTGGAAACAAAAAAGGCTTAAAATATCTCAAGATTTTTAAAAGTCACGACAATTTGCAATTCTGGTATTTTAGCAAGAAACATGAAGTCAATTTACAAATTTGGCTTTTGTGGGCCACATAAAATTATGTGGTGAGCCATATCTGGCCCCCAGGCCTTGAGTTTAACACCCGTGACTTAAAAGAGCAGCTAGAAAATAAATTATTAACCATCTACACTTGATTGGATGAAATTAATTGCAATACAAATCAATAAATACAACAAATAACTGTTGTGCACATCTTGGCCTCCAAGGGGCAGTGTGGTAACCCATAACATCTAAAGCTAATTTTTCTTAGCCCGTCTCTTTGGTGTTTTGCAGCTGTAGATGAATAATTTATCACTTAGCACAGCTTGTCCGTCTTTCTCCCAGTCCTCCCTTCAGGAATCGCAGCAAAATTAGTGGCTGGCGATCAGCCACTCATTTGAACTAGTTGCAGATCTCATCTTATCTTATCTTACCTTACATTCAAGTCAAGTCAAGTACAACTTAATTGTCAAATGTGCTGTATGTGCAACATACAACACAGAAAAACGTTGCACCACTTAAATCAAGAGGGACTCTTTGATGAGACGCCGCAATGTACTTTGTTTTTCGTTGGGTTCATCCTACACACTTTTGCCTTTCTCTGCTGCTCGTGACTCAAAAAGAACCACATAACTTGACAGTCATAACGCAAATACACTTTTGCTCTTCCTCTGAAGCTTTTCATTGAAATTTGCATCCTTTGTCCTCCACAAATTGCCTCTTTTGACACATTTAGTTTGGCACGATAAACACGCCAACGGGAGTGCCGCGGGAGAGCTTTCAATGATTTTTCTCTGTGACTGAGTCAAGACAAGTGCATTGGCATGGCTGCTGTGGCTCATTAAAATTAAACTCAGTCGGTGACAGCTGTGTAGTTCATTGAATGCTCAAAGTCAGAAACAATCAAGTAAGTACAATAAACCCAACAGTGAAAATGGATAACTAAACGGAAAACAGCAAAGCTTGTGAAATCATTTTGGAGAAGGACATATTCATCATAAATTAGTCGTGTGAATTTAACACAGCAAAGAAATGTACGCTATCGTGATCCAATGGAACTTGCAGACAGTTTAAGTGCATTCGAACAGCGTGGAATGACAGTCGAGGAGCACTGGAAACATCTCAGCTCTTAAGGCCAAGATGATAAGTTTTCACTATTGGGTGGCAACCGTCTCGTCTGACATTTATGGTGAGCATTACTTTTATTTTTCTGACTGATTGCTGCTTGAAGCTAATGTACTATGAGTCTGTGTGGGCTGCCCATAGGTGGCTGCTCTGCAATTTATTGTGTTCATTGTGTGGGTTTGTTGCTGTACATTTTAGTGTTTAATGGAGTGAGCCTCTTTCCTTTAACCCAGTAAAGCAAATGTTCACTCATTTTTAATTAAATGCTTGCAATAGGTTCCAAAAAAAGCTGGATCCGAGGCTTGTTAACCACTGTGTTATGTCACCTTTTCTTTTAACAGCACTCAATAAGCATTTGGAAACTCAGAAAAGACACTAATTGTTGAGGCTTGGTAAGTGGAATTCTTTGTCCTTCTTGCTTGATGTACAGCTTCAGTTGCACAACAGTCTGTGGTCTCCATTGTTGTATTTTGTGCCTTACAATGAGCCACACAATTTCAATAGAAGGCAGGACTGGACAGCTAGCAAGTCATTCAAGTACTGTATTCCCACTCTTTTACTACAAAGCCAGGCTGTTGTAACATGCAGAATGTGGCTTGGCATTGCTGAAAAACGCCGGGACATCCTGAAAAAGGCATTATTTGGAAGACGCACGGCAGAATATGTTGCTCCAAAACCCGCATGTACATTTTTGCATTAATGGCGCCTTTTGGCTAATGGCGTAAGTTACTCATGCCGCATAGAAACTTTTTTAATTAGCAATGCTGGAGCACAAATGTTTCATTGGGTCATGGTTTAATCAATTTGTCAAGCACTCTATACAGTAAAATAGTAGATAACCTTCGATGAGCACCTCTTTTCCTCTTTCACTCTGACTGTGCGTCACTTCTATGCCACTCAGTGGAAATATGATTAGTCATTTGATTGATGGTATGTTCTATTTAATTTGACTGAGGAATCTAATTATTCCATGTGTTGGTTAAAAATGATGCTTAAATAGCAGAGGACGATTTTATCTTTCCCATTAAACACTCACCCTGTTCATCATTACATTTTTTTTTTATATATATACAAGTTTATCCAAAAATAAATTGTCACACAAGCAGCAGGTGTTGAGCAAAGCAGCCTGCAAGAGGCAAAACACCTTGCACACTGCTTCCTACAAGCATTGTTAACATGACTACATCTGCTACACGTTGAATGTAGCCCAGTGGTTCTCAAACGTTTTCCTCCAAGTACCACCTCAAAAAGTACTTTGGTTTCCATCATAACAAGCAGCATTAACACACAGTGACGTTTTTGGCCCTTTTCTACATTTACCAACATTAAATACCTCAAAACGGTACTTATAAAATTGACTGTTTCTGAAAAGTAAAAACTGAACTACACATGAACATTTTTTAAATGAAGTACTGTATGGGGTTAAGCAAAAGTTTAAATGGGCTGTATGCTTTGTGTCATTTAAATATGTTTGATTTATATTTAAATTGTTGTACATTTTATTCATAGTTTTCAGAGACTAATTTTTGTGCAACATTATTAGTATTTTAAATTCCACTTTCTGGTCAGAATATGTGCTCAGTGCTTCACACATAATTTTTAAAGTTTAACACTTGTGCTATGCACTTATTTTCTATCGGTTATATGGACCAATAGGTGTTGAATTTGAGAGGATGAGAGGCTTAGTTAAAAAAAAAAAAAAAGATATTAAAAATGGTTCACAAATTTTTAACTTCCTTTCCATTTTTTTTGTCCAATGACTTTGCAGCTCAGAATGATGTCTGGAAAGGATTACACGAAGCTAGAGGCTATCTCAGCTGACTGCAGGCAAAAGGCAGACTAACACCCTATACTAGTAATCAGTCACTCACAGGCCATCTTGTACATTGAGTGATATAGGCCAATTATAAAGGTGCCGTTCCCTGCAGGGGGCGCCACAGAATCTGGGGGGAAAAAACATACACTCACAGCGGCGCAGTCCTTCCTCTCACAGGTCCACCAGTTCCTACTTATCTGCCAAATTACTAGCATCGGGTTGAACCAACCTCCTAAGAGAGTTACACCACGCTCCGCACACGATTTATGCCAGTCATGAAACGAGAGCCTTTCATGTCAAGTCAAACTGTTTCTACTGGAAGGAAAGAAGAGCGGAGTGACTTAAAATGAATTTTAATACTGAATTAAAGACGCAAGGAGGAGCAAGGTGAAGTCATTTGAAATCAGTGTTCCAGCCTGCAGCATACAGTGTGACACGCCAAGTCACAGCTGACAGCAAACCGGTTGTAAACAA